AAACGGGGGGAAACTCAAAATACTTAACACGTGCTTGCGAGCCGGGGCCGACTGTTCTGCGCCCTGAGTGAAAAAGTATCCTGATGATAAACAAACAGAGCACAACTGGTAGTGCAAGCATGCAAGCGAGCCGCTTGAAGGAGGCACAGAGCATCTTAATTCTGGCTTTTTCCAAACTGTGAATCTTTGACTTTACAGTCCTAATGCAGTTTTTAATACATTACTTTCACACGTATGCTCAGTGACATGAACTGTGACTTAAGGGCCCAGGTCTTAGACAAAACTAGTGGGTTTTTAAGCAAGAATTTATCAAAACAAAACACCCCAAAACTTCCCACCATTTCCCTTTACACAGTCAAAACTAGGCATAGTCTAGCATAGATTTTCTTATGATGGCTTTAATATAGATTATTGGATACCAAAAATGTGTATATTATCTTCAAATGTTTCTTCTTTATATGTTTTGTACATATGTTGACATAGCTAAATATCCTGCTATAGCTGAGAATATATTAAAATTCAGATCGTACATCTGTGTAGTCACACAACCCTCCTGCATTTAAAGTGAGTGTTATACAGGAGCTTTATAACAGCACTATAGACCCCAAGTCTGTGTATTTAATTTGGTTTTTAAATAAACTCACTCTGCTGCTCTTTTGTTTCGATGCAGCAATAAATAACTTCAAGGTACTGCAAGGGTCACTGCTGCAGTGTGTACACAATAAAAGTAATTTATTATGGTCCTGTTTCACAGGTGTCTATAGAATATAGTACTCAGCAAAAAAAAAAAAGCTGTGAAGAGGCATACTGCTCATCAGAATGACGCACCATGGTAATTAAGCATGTTCTGCTGGGAATATAGGTTCTAGCACAAGGAACTTTCTGTTACAGCAGCTATGCTTCAGAAAAGTAAAAAAAAAAAAAGCTTATATAAAAGATCAGCACATTACAAAAATCTAAACCTGAACTTCAACAATTATTTTTATTTTCAAAAGTGAGAGGTAGGGCATATGCTTTTTCACTGTAAATATACACGTAAACTGATCTTATAATTGCTCTTATGAGATAGCATGGTTGAATACATTGACAAACACTAATTCATGATACTTTTCCACTGTGTGAAAATACAAACACGGTCTTTGGCAGGGGAAAGATTTAAATTTGGCCTCACTTTGTAGGACCTCGGTTTTGCACAGTACTTTCTGACTTCACACACCAGTTTGATATCTAAGTTCAATGCTGCAATCCTACTCCTAAAAACTTTTAATATAAGTAATCTGTCAACATTTCCTGTCTAGCTACATTCCTTAGATAAATAGCCAGTTGTCTGCTGCCCCTTAAGGATTTTCTTCCATATAAAACACAATAATTTGCACAAAGTGCCATAACAGCATTTATTTGCACAGCATCAGTTCCCTTCCCACTCTCTGCCACTATCCTGCTTTTGCAGTGGTAACATATCTGAAAGTTCAGGTCTGAGTTAACAGGGACTACTGGATAGTTTCAGATTTTATTTTTTAAGATGTCTAAGCCATATAAAAGTCTCCAGTTTATTTACATTTCACATAATTTATTTTTCAAAAACTTTAGTAATGAAATGGTCTTCCTTCAATCTTGGCTCTAAAAAAAAAAAAAAAAGAAAAAGAAAATCATGAAAAGGAGATTTTCAAAATGTATTTGCATGAAATGAAAGGGTCTTACAAAATTTACCATCTCTCTCATTATTTTTCTTATACCACGTCTAGATTTTTCTAGCTAAGAGGTTTGTGTAATTTGAATCCAGTGGAAAGGTTTTGCCTCTGCTTTTTAAGAGAATATAAAGGTCTTAAATTCTCTTTGAGTAACCGCTATTAAATTCATAGACACCAGAGGGCCCCATAACACTTGCTGATTTAGCAAACACATTTCAGCTTCAAAAATACTCCCTGTAGGAAAATAGAGAAGGAGCTATATATATAGTGTGCTCTTTAAAGCTGCAGCTATTTGAAGTTTTAGAAAGACAACTGCCTTGAATTTTAAAAGATTAAAAAACATAAAACTGCCCAGCCATAAGTGAAGTTCTCTGAAATGCATACATATGCTAGTGTACATTCATGCACATGGGCTTCTCGTGTCCAGCCTCAGCTTTTTGGATGGTAGTAGGCATATGGTGCTCATTTGTTTTGGTGTTTCTCCTGAGTCAGATGTTGGCATAAAAAGGAGAACGAAGCTGTGCCTCGAGTGGAGCAGGCCAGCTTCGCAGGGCTCTCGTGCTGCAGGGCAGTCACGGACTACGAGCTGGACAAGCAATCTCAAAAGTCTCCTCCAGCAGGGCCAGAATCAGAGATGTTGGAAATTATGACCTGTATCACCCATGCATGACCAGAGCTCCCAGTGGCCTCTGCACATATGTAACACAGCTACAGTTTCCAGTGACTTTCTGCTATTTCTCGAGTTTTTTCCTGTCAGTCCTAGGCGAGTTACGTTTTAGCCATCTTAAGGCGTCTTCCTGCAGGGTCCAAAATCTATTTTGATGCAATTCGCCTTCTGTTCATTTCCTTCTGACCAGCACTTGCCTACAGGAAGGTCCAATTGGCTTTGCCTGTTGTAAGTAAAATACCATTAGTAGGACAGCCAGGTTTATCAGTGTGAACTATGTAGATCTTTGGAAAAATACAGGAAGATTGATCTGTAGGTTCAGATGAACTCAATTGCTCCCTTCAGTATGACTTTAGAGTATGTCCTTAGGGTACCTGATCCTGTCTGTACATTTATTACAGGAGATGTGCCATCAGCTTGCCAAGGTACCAAAGGATTTCATTGGCTACAGCATCAAAGAAAGCAGTTCTGCTGCTTCAAATAAGGGACCTACAGAAGCTGAAAGGACTAGACTGAGGTGACTAGATGGGGATCTTTACTGTGGGCATGCTCAGACTCCTCCAAGTTTTATAATATAGTCAAAATCACAGCTAGGTACACTTTGATCAGCATGAAGAACAGGACCTATCCCAGCTTGTCATTCCAGAAGCAGATGTCAACAGGGCATTGCAAGGATTTCTCTGTGTACCAAAGGGAATCTGGTTTAATTAGAGCATGTCCTAAGTTTTATTTGCCTAACTCACCTTATCATGAATTGGTGACAAGCAGGGTCATTCTGTACTCAGCAGTTCTCCAGCTTACATGCTAGCAAGTAAAGGGTGTGCAGATGCAACTCTTGAACGTCCTTCCACCCTTCCCTTCAGAACAGCAGACCAAAAAAGAGATTTGAGGCCTGCTGTTAGATCTACAAAACCTGTTTTGTACAGACAGGATACAAGCTTGTTTTGCCCACAGCAGGGTCATCAGGATTATAGGAACAAGCGGAAGAAAAAAGGTGTTCTGTTGACTAAATAGCTGGATGTTTTCTTGTTAAGAGTACATACAGCAAATTGTCACAATACAATAAATTCTACTTTTTTGACAGCCAGATTTACAGTAGTTTAATGAGAAATAGAACATTTTGGTGACTGCTGCAGGAAATCCATTACAAGACAATGCAGCAGTGAAACAACTACCCTAAAAGTATAGGTAACTTTATGAAGAGCATGACAGTTGCGTTGAGCAATACACTTCTGGCAAAGGAAATGAAAATGTTATTACAGAACATTTTGTTAGAGAGTTGCATATTGGCAGTATATGCCACAGTGAAGAAAGGACCAGCTTCCCCAAATTATGAACTCTATCCTGGAGCAGAACCCAGACCCCTACATTAAGCACCCAGAAAGGCTGTTTTGCTTTTGATGCATCTATGGGCTTAGCAAGGAACTAGCATTTCCCATTGCCTACTTTGCAAGCCGGGCCACAACTGAAATTACACTCTTCTCTGGAGTTTGAGAATTAAGTGCTTAAGACTTCAGGAATGTCTCCAAATGGCTCTGGTCTGTTGATCCTAGAAGTAAGCCCTTGTTTCCAAAAAGCAAATACCAGTCCTTTACATACCCCTGTAGAAAGTGTGAATGATGCCACCTGTCTTTTCTATTAAGGTCTAATGGTGACCTAGGAAGCAGGAGCTTTGTCCTCAAAGGCACACATTTCCCCAGAACTTGTAATACCCACCTGCAGTGAAGGCAGTTTTGGGGTAGGAGGAAAAAACATCCTCCTTGTCTCCTTCTGAAGCTTTGCTGGTAGACAGTAAATGACTTAAAACTCCCTGGGATAGAGAGGAGGCAAGATGATGTAGCTAGATGGTGAGGACACTTACCCAAGAGAGCAGAGCTTTGGCCTTTGTATTTTAATTGGCCTGGTGTGATTCCACCACCTCTTAAGAGAAAGCCACAACCACTACCTCCACAGAGCCTGCTCCTGTAGCAATGAGTATGGTAGATGCTCTGAACATGCACATGCTGGACAAAGCTTAGGTGGAAGAATATGTATATCCATAGGGTTAGGCACCAGTATCAGACTGGCAAGAAGCCACTCTGGAGCAGGCAGCATGCTGAACGTTTTTTTAATCAAAGGGGGAGAAAAGATAATTTAGGTGATTCCAGTGCAAACACCCAATTCTCCTCCCAGTGAAACTTCTGTAATTGATGGCAACGGAAGCAGGGATGGGTCGAAAGTTTATTGACAAGATGTAAGCGTGGAAAGCACTGGCACAAAGGTGCTTTATATTTCAAGTGCAGATGCAGAAGAATAAAACTTTTAGACGTATATCTGAGGCTACTCAGTCTCTTTGCCAGGTACAGAAGAGTAGAAAGCCCCTTCTGCTCAATTAGTCTCTCACCAAAGCCAAGTTCTGAGTAAAAAGGTCAGAACTCCAAACTAAGCAATGTATTGGATACAGCTATTTATGTCTTTATAACAGCTTGAAATGAAAGATAATATTTATTTATTTATGTGGTGGTACAGCAAGGACATAAGCCTTCTAAAATGAATAAAAGTACTCTTCCCTTTCTGCAAAAAGGGGACAGTAGAAAAAAAATGTGTGCATATAAAAAAAGGTGCAGTATATGTTTATTTAAAATAAAGTACTCATACAGAAAGACATCAATATCACATGGAGAATTCAGATTCTTGCTCCAAGTTATCTTTCCCTCACAAAAATAATACAAGTTGAAGATTAGTCTCGCTACTTGGCAATGTAAACTTTGCAAAAAAGATTACATATTCTGATTAAGAGGTATTTAGTTCCATTTTAATCATTGGCTCACCTCATTTCCACACGATAGCCTTAGTTAGCATATGGCTATAAAGCTGGAGACGGCAATATTTCCAGAAGTTAGACCATGTTTGAATATATTTTCTGTATTAAAACAAAACCAAAACAAGCCCACCCACATAACAACAGTTGAACCATCCTTAGGTTCCTGCTTAAGGTTCCAATTATGAAAAGGAATTTTTTGCTTTCTTCACTGCCAGTTTCCCAGCTTACACTTTTTATATTTCATTTTAAAGTGTAAAATCCAGTCTATTATATGATATAATGATCACAAAGATGAAGCCTTCCATGTCCTTTTCTCTGAAGTCATTTTTCAAGAAATTAGAGGCCAAGATAGCATTACAGTGGAATCCAATGTCTCAGTTTTTAAAGTACTACTAAAAAGCTTGTAAACAGATCAGAAAGAAACCCCAAGAATTCAGTCATTAATCTGCATGAGATATGGAGCTCCCTATTTAGAAATCGAAAGCAAGTCATCTACTATAAAACGCTTTCAGTGTATGAGACCATGTGCCAAGTTTACCAAACATGAAAGCATTCCACTACAGTCAATACTATTCTTAACGTTTACAGTAGTGATTTTGACTAGTGTATATAGAAGACAAATAAGTGATAAGACCTCACCCAAACACACAATTTTGTATGTGAGCTTGTGGGACTTGTGTCCACATTATTAAAACAGGTCTGTTTTCCTTCCCTATATTTTGGATATTGTTATTTACAGTTTACTCCCAGCAGGTTGTAACTGGTATTGTACAGTAGATATGCATAAATAGAATCATAAATAAACAAAGCTAACAAGGTGCTCAGAAAGGTAGTTATGCAAATTTGCCACTGCAAATAAGAACTCATTATTAGTTTATGATGATTGTTTACTCTAGTTCTGGGAAAAATATTAAACACACAATGCCAGAAGCCGCAGTTTCCATTTGTCTCTTCTGCCCATAAGTAAATAACCTGGGAACGGAGAGAAAAAATACCAGTTTCTGGAAGGCAGCAGTGTCTCTTCATAGAACTTGAGAGTTCCTCAGTGTTTGTAGGACTAACCTTTCGCTAAACCTGAATTATCTCAAATAACGCTCCCCCCGCCCCCCCATGATGGTGAGAGGACAACAGTTTTTATTCACCATGAAACTCACTTCTGTGCAGAGCATTAGTTAAGGGTTGAGCACCACAGATGTTAAACCCACTGAAAGCCTTCAGGAGTTGTGCATGTAAACAGCGCATAGTTTTCTGGCACTTTAATGTGTTTTAGGGCAAATGTAGTCCCTGCTCTTCAGCTCTTTGGGAAACTAACTACTCCTCACCTCCAAAAAGGTAACACGAGAGAGCCATAAATAAGGTGTCTATAAGCAAAACAAAAAAGGCCACTGCTCGCAGAATCGGCTTCTAGCACTGAGAAGTCTTTTAGGGATTCAGTTTTACATACAAAGACCACTCCTGCAGAGCAGTGAGGCCCTGCCTGCACAGGTTGGTATTCGCAGCCCTGTACGGCAGGAGCAGGAGTCGCTCTGGGGCTCCATCCCAGGGGAAAATGCTCTCCCAGCATCTCGGTGCTTCTCTCTGCTCTGCAGGAGCTTTCTGGGAAGGACCAGACTCTCTTGCAGTCACACTTGAACACAAACTAAGTGAAGTTATCTGCCCGGGGTTTTAAAAGTAGCATGCTCATTGAAGAGATCTGCCATGGACTTGGGAGACTAAGGCACAAAAAGAGATAGACATCAAGGCCATGATACTCCATGTCCATCTCCATGATGCAAAACAAAGAAGCTCCATTTCTGAGTAAACTTTGAGGCCACTTTAAGGCTTATTATAGGGGACACAGTAAAAACTCATAAATGCAGCTGTCAGATCTAAAGAGGACTAGAGATTTCTTTCACTTTTTAAAAACATGCAAGTGACCCAAATTTGGGTCTGGAACACTGGTAAACAAAAACATAGTTTTATTTGAGGTACTAGGGCTTGTATAGCATGTGCCCAGCTCTGTCACTTGCCGCTAGCCTCAAACAGATGTGCCAGAACCAGAATCACTCAGGCTCTGCCCCAGGTCTATTCTACTTCTGTTCTCTGCCCCAGTCTATTCTACTTCTGGAATAGACTTAGCTCCCTCCAAAACGAGCAACAGCAGCAAGAGCAGCAGCCCTATTTCCCCTCTCCTCTCTCCTGCCCTTTCCCACACCAGGTCAGGCTAGCAGCAAATAGGTACTTGCTGTATTACACAGTGCTGAACAACAGGCAAGCTTATTTCTAAATACATGAAAATAGAAGTTTTTAAACCACAAAATACATACAGTTCTTACTGTAAGTTACGCAACAAGACGTACATTATACCTAACATTCATATGTTAAATGTAGCGTTATTTAATGTTATTTTCCGCCTCCTCTGTGTAGCAGATACAAGAGGCACATCCGCAAGAAATTAAAACTTCCACAAAAAGGTAGCAGATATTTTACTTTCTGGGCTTTTTACTCCCTGTCATAACAAAATAGTGATCATCTTGCCTGCTCTTTGTAAGAGGACCTTTTGATACACCAGGGATCCCTTTGTTACATGCTGTTGCTAATTTTCCTTTAGAGAGAGCCTTCTTGGTTGCTGGGACAAAAGTTTCATTTGCTTGCAAGTTTTTAGTTGAAGGCTGACTTTTTGCAGAAGGCTGCGCTGGCTTTTTGGTCGTTGCCACTTTGGCTGTAGTTTGAGGAAGCCTTACAACAGATAATGGAGTGCGTTCAGGAGGTTTCGATGAAGTGGGTCCAGCCTGAAGGCTTTTACTGACATTTTTGGCCTGTAAATGCTCTGCGGCTGTCTGCTCATTGGCAGCTGAAGACACATTTTTGCTTGCAGATCCCAGTGTAGGTGGTGACTTTGATGCTTTAGTAACTGCAAGGGAAGGTGCAGAAGCTGAGTGTTTTAGGACTGAAGCAGTTTTAAGGTTCCTTCCCTGGACAGAAGCTGTTTGTGGAGCTTTCCGAGGATGTTGAGACCCAGTCCCTGAAGTCTGAATATTTTTTTCAGAAGGAGGTTTTGCAAGGAGTTGCTGAGAACGCGCAAATTTGGCAACGGTACGCAGATTTGTAATGGGTGGCCGTGCAGGCTTTGGAGCAACAGAATTAGCTTTGGTTGTAGTGCTAGATACAGATTTGCATTTAGAAGGGACACACTTCTGTTTTGAAGCTATCGTTTCATTTGTTCCAGGCAGCTGAGACAGCTGTTTCGTGGAGGACGAGAGGGTAGACTGTAGCCCTGTTCCTGGCGACTTCTGGGCCAGTGCAAATTTCACCTTTGGAGCATCAGGGGACCGAATACGTTTGCGCAGTGTTTCAGAGTGAACAAGGGCTGTTCTTGATCCTGCAGGACCCTTGTTTACATGCTGCACAGGACGTGAAGGAGCAGAACCTGGTGAATTGTGTGCAGGAGACTCCAGTTCCTTTGAGGTGCCCATTACTGGTTTGAACGGAGACTGCATGCCTGTCACTGAAGTCCCTTGTAATTTGGACCTAACTGACAATGGTTTGGCTGTAGAGGGTGGGTGTGACGGTACTTTTGGTGATGCCAGGGTAGGGGACTGAGGACGTTTAAATAAAGCCTTCTTGCCATCGGCCCCATGCACAGCCTTTAGAGCTGAAACAGGAGTAGGGGGTTTTGATGGCTGCTTTTGAAACATCTTAATTGCTGACATAGGATTCATGGGAGGAGGTTGCTGACTTCTAGTTGAGGAGTTGGGGGCGCTATCGTTGGTGACCCCTTTCTGAAACGCCAGGATTTTTTGTTCCAGAGTTGCGAATTGAAGAACTCGGCACGGATCATATTTAAGCAGAAAACCTTGAAGAGTGTCCCAGCCTCCACCAACACGTACCATCACATGCTTGCCATGTAGCATCTGAGAATGGAAGGGGAAGAGAGAAATAAGAAGCATCTGTCTTATTTTTTGCAGCATTTCCTTATCTTACATTATAATCTACTGAAATTGAATAAAAATAAGACCTCTTTTCTTACAGAGAATCATTTAAAAAGGAAAAATTATGTAATCTATGATCTCCTCGATTCTTGACGGTCTCTCCTGCAGACAGTCACTATGCGTAGGGACATAATGAAAGCACATATATATGCAGGAGACGATCCTCACACGCAAAAGTAGAGGAAACCAAAATAGGTACAAAATAAACATTTTTACCCCTTCTGTCAGCATCTTTATTTAGTACAAAGAATTTTTGATAAAGGCTTTGTTCAGTTAAGGATGTCCTCATAATATTTTAATCCCACAAATTCTTATGCCTGTTTAAGAGAGCGCTCAGTTATTCTGCCAGTGATATACCCCAACCGCCCAGATTTTGACCAAGCAATGTTCTCAGATTAAGTCTCTGTTGCATTATCTTTCTTTATATTTCATATTCTTACTGAAAATTTAGAAACAACATAGAAAATCATTAACCTGCTTATACTTTGGCATGGCTGTACTTGTAAAATCAGTGGTTGTAAAACTGAATTAGCTAGACCTGCTTGAGTAGAGGACTGAATCAGGGGATCTCCAAAGGTCCCTCCCAACCTATGTTATTCTATGATTCTAAAACACTACTGTAAAAAACAAGGTATTCCAACTAAAAATATTTATCTCGCCCTTCTGAAAAAAACTCAGAATATTGACAAACTACTTACTCGTATGAACAGTATTTTATCCCCCAGTCTATAACGTCCTTCAGATAAGTATTCAATTGAAAATCGATGGGAACAACTGCAGGGAGGATCTTCTGCTATATGCTTAACCTAATTATTAAAATTGAAAGCATCTGTTAGTATTTTGATAGAAGCTCATGTTTAACAGTTTGTGTGACACAGTACCCCAAGAGATACTGATATCATCATCCTACAATCAAAAGAAACATTAGAATTCTATTCCCTCACAGAAGAAATCTCAGCTACATAGAGCTTCAAAACAGTGAATAAAGATAAGAAGGCACGCACATATAAAGACGACAGGTATGTTGAGTTGCTTAGATCTAATTTTCATTATTTCCTTGATTTGAAGATATTTCTACTTTATATTTTAAGTCTTGTCTATAATACTGTGTGTAGTAGCATCAAATCCCAACCACATCCTTGTCAAGACACTGTGATGGTTACAAGAAACTGAAACAAGTGATTGAGCCTCTTTCTGTGTCTGAATCAGTGTTCAGCAGAACTAATCCCATTGCTGCACCTGACCCAGTGGTACTTTAGCATTCTCCCAAACATTTGGAAGTCTTTTATAATTTAATCTTCTATGTGATGCCAAAGGAGGAAACCGCTAAAACCAGAGAGAAGGTGGTCCCCAAGTTAAGTCCAGAGTTAGACAAGATGTGCCTGTTACAGGCATTTCTAGACTTAAAGAACTGGAAGGTCAAGACTATTGCCAAGGGCCAACACTATTCAGTTTTCAGAGGGAGAATCTGGTGACTGATGTTCCAAACGAAGCAAAAGTTTGACATACATCATCAGGAGACTTTTATAATAAACAAGTTTTAAAGTTTCAATATGTATTTTCAAGCAAAATAGGATAGTTGTTTACCATTCCTTTTGGACCAGTTCACAAGATGAGGAAATCATTCCATTTTCTGCATACATATTCATTTCCAGTTGGTACAGCTATAAAGTTTTTATTTAAAGTCTCTCTTTCAAAAGTGTTTTATCAAAGCCTACTTTTCACATTTCATGAAGTTTGATGAAAATGTCAAACTGAAGAGCAGTACAAGTTACAGTCATAGAATACCGATACATAAGAAAAATTGAATGATGAGAGGTTATTTCTTATACTCAAGGAAGCAGTGAAAAAGAGGAAGAATGGAAGATCAAGACAAGTTACACGCACTGAGGCATTAACTCCAAAATATGCATGACAACATTTTGCTTACATTTAAAAATAATCTTCTAAAGAAGTGCATACCCTTGCATTTTCTGTTTATGGGGGCTCACAAACATTAGATGAAAAATTGCCTGTGCTTACTGAGCCAGATCGCACAAGTACTAAACTTAGAGTTGGACTTAAAGCCCACCTCACAATAAGTAAGTGCAAGTAGTACTTACTGCCTCATGTAGCTCTCCATGGTGACATGACTTTGCTGTGCTAACAGGCAATGCTGGTCCAGAGGTCATTAGCAGTGTTTCTTCTAGCTCAATTTCCTTCTCCAGTTTTACTAGCACAGGAGGTTCAACTCCATACCTCAACACAAATACATAAGTAGAGCTTAATTGCTAATCTACTGAAGAAAACAAAGAAACTGATGAAGGTAGACATGCAAAATGCTGAATAGCTAGACTGACAGAGAGCACCACTACATCAATCAGAGCTGTCTTGGTGATCCAAAGAGAGGAGCAGCTCTGAGTTTCTGGGAGAAGTTGTCCCAAAGGTGGTCTTAGAGGCACCACAGAAGGCCATAACAGTACTGTCAAACGTGTGCAGTTTAGGTTACAATCAATTTAAAGCTTGTCGTCCTGCACTGGAAATAAATTAGAAGCCTAAATTTACAGAATGACAAAGAGCTGATTCATATTCAAAGCTTACATGCCTGCTCAAAGCTTAGGGAAAAATAATAAAAAGATCATGTTTAAGGTTCACTGAGTTCTTCAGGCGTGCTACCAAGATGTACACATATCTATAAGCTGAAGGTAGCATCCAAATACAGAGCTATAAAAATCAGTATGCATCAGCACCTCTCCACGAGATGGATCTGATAAATATTTGAAAAAAATATTCCCATTGTAAGGTAGGCCTAGAAGAGCTACTCATTACTTTCTGCACAAAATTAGCACCTACTGCACTATATTTAACAACTGCAATTCATCTTAACTTTGTCTTAATATTTACTTAAAAAGAATATATTCATTACTCTCTAGTTAAAAGCCTGCATGGATCACATACCTGGATACAATGCGACCAATTTCCAGCAGACAGAGATACACTTGTCTTGGATCCTTGTGCAGAACTAAAAGGGAGGAAAAAAAGGGGGAGGGGGCTTACATTTCATATCAAATGTGGGAAGCCCTGAGTAATTAAATACAGAGAAGATATGGAACAGATGGCTACAACCATCTAAGCAGAGTCAAACTACATTACTAAGCCAGTTTGAGGTGTACTGTGGAATAATGGAAAAAGCAGTACAAGAGTTTTTCAACTTTTATTCTCTTTGAAAAAAAATGTCTAATCCCATCCTCTCTTTTCTGAAACCAAATTCCTCTCTACCTCTTAAGAGGAACACACTTTAGCTGGTCTTATGCTGTTCCTTTTAGATGCAAACTGGAAAGCAAGAGAGATGAGAGTTTTCCCTTCTCTATTGCCAAATACGTTATATCAGTCTCACAGATCCAGAGCATTCAACAGATGCAAACAGATGCAGTCTCTCAGTTCACATGTGTGCGTGCAGACACAGGTACAGTCTATAGGTGGACAACCAGAGGAGAACATGCTGCAAGGGATCCTGCTGACAAAAGAGTGGCTACGCAGAGCCATTCACCTAGACAGTTTAAACCATGGCCGGGAAAGGTTAATCAAAATGACTGCTACTGTTTCAGCAAGCAAGAGCCATCTTTTTGTTACCACTTTAAAAGTTTTGGTTGCCGGCAGAGTCCATCCACATGTCTGACTTGACAGGCAGAAGCTGCTGCCAGCACAGCTGCCCTAGGAGCCTTCACGCTACCAGCTGCAGCTGCCCTGTTGAGATGCCCACACCTGACCCTGCTATCCCCCCCCTTTCACCCCTCCCTGGCAGTGCCTAACCCCTGGCTCATCCACGCAAAGCTTTTCTTCAGAATTTGGTGTCTCTTTGTGAGGCTGCGCTCTGAGCAGAAACTTTGGACAGTCAGAGAAGGGGCAAGAATGATGCTGGTTTTAGAGGTAAAAGCTCCAACTCAAATATCAGGTCCTGGCTGCAAACACAGAAGACATCCCTAGCTTAGAGATGTAACTTAAACAGAGTTTTACACTAGATTTTGTTTCTCAAGGGCTGTGCCTACACTAACCCAGCTAAAGTGTCCAACACAGAGGCTGTTTTGCACCCCTCTTCCCAGTTCAGAGTAGCTGGGACAGTCACACACACTTGACCAGGGAGAAACCAAGTCTTGAGCAGAAGAGCTAAAGAATGAGATGGAAGGCTAGGGCAACAGCCAAACAGTGTGTCGATGACCACGGAAGTTCTTGGTTTTCTTGACAACTTTAAAATGAAAGTGGTAGATTATTTTTCTGCTGCATGAAAGAATGGAAGAGGGAGAAGGAAATCAATGGCTACTTTCAGTTGAAGCTTTGGGCTTTTGTTGTTGTTTGGTTTTTTTAATTTCAAAATCTACTTTTAGGGGTGCAAGCAGAACAAAGGCCACAGAGGAGAAAAATAGTTCAAGAGCTCATGAACAAGTTATTACTTCCTTCTCTGCTGCACTTGTGCCTTGAAACTGGAATGCACTCAACACTTTTTAAGTCTACTAATAGTAGTATGAATGTACAAATCCCCTCTCCTCCCACCTAAAACCCACAAACAAGCCCTGTGATTTCTTAGCCAGCTGGAAATGCTGTCTAATAACTCAAGAGACCAAAAGCCAGAAGAAAAGGCATTCAGCTTCCCTCCACTCACACACCCAATATCTTCCTCTCCCTCCCGCCATCAAATATAAGAGATGAGAAAATTGTATCTACAACTTTTATACGGCGCACCTTTTATCTATATAAACAAGTCTGACTTTCTTCATACTGCACAGTAACAACATTCAGTAGAAACGCGAAACTCACTACAAAGAGAAACCCAACAAACCAGCTCCATATTTACAGATGAAATCTAACATCATGCTGATGTTCAATTTGGTATTAAAACTACTTTGCTTCACATAAGACCAAAGTATTTCTTAACATATAAACTGAGTAGGTCAGATGTTTCTATTTTTATCATTGACTTCAATTTGTAAAGGCAGTTTCTTTTCCAAAGTCTACTTTTAAGAAGATCCGAGTACAAAGGGTAGATCTAGAATAGGAAGTTGACACAGCCATAATCTAAAAGGTGCTGGAGATTATGTCTTCTTTTGTTCTTAAGTTGTTTTGCCAGCTGTAACAGAAATAGTGTAAATTGCCTGAATCCAGAAGGAAAAAAAAAAAAAAAACCTAAATATACCCCTAGCAGAAATCAACATATTTGGCTTGATGTCAAAGTTGCGCAAAGACATCCCATGACAGCTACTCTCCCTTTCATTTAATTTCTTTCCTCCACGGCTTTCCACATGTTTCAGGAGGTGTTGCTATATGTATCTGACAGAAGACAACTGTAAAATTTCAGAGACAGCCTTTCCCCCGTTCATTCATAGAGAATGACTTGAAAGTTCGATGGAGAACATCAGTGGAAAGAATGTTTCATCAAGGAGGCTGCAAGTCTGCTCATCCGACTGCCAAAAAGGCTCAAAGACGATATTTATGCCACAAAGCAAGCTTGTGTTGAGAGTTATAATCAGACTTCAAAACACTTCTTGGCTATGCGCAAAAGACACAGCATTAGAAAATACTGTCTGTTTATCTCAGGGAGGCTAAACAGGTTTGAATTACCCATCCAGTTAAGGGAACTAAGGTGTTTAAGCGATGTAATTCATACAAGTTGAACTGAAAAGCATTAAGACTAATTTTCTTATACCTCAGTTCTCCCACTCATCTGTATTTCATGGCACTTAAAAAAGATAGACTCCCTACTTAAATCAGAATGAGATAGATGCAAATAAGGATGTTTACTCAACTATTTAAAAGCAGGCTGATCCAGTAGACAAGGCATGGGCAGCCCAACTAGCAGGGAGGATTGCTTAAAAGAAAGACAGTTAGTCAAAGCTATGGCTCCCATTTAAATATCACTAAATGGCACAAAGACTTCAAGAAAGTCTAGTAAATATTGCAACATATTTGTCTCATTACTGAGAACATAAAGGTACTTTGCAATTTTTTGGTGTTCTGCTTGACAGGCAGATACTTTGCAACTTTTTTTTTTTTTTTAAGTATTGTTTGCCAGAGAAAGATTTGTATCCGTTTTTATTGGCATAGTAGCTGTTAAAAGAGCATTTCATTATTTGCCCTATAATGAAAGCACAGTTTCTCTTAATTAGCAGTCAAAAATTTTATTCCATCTGGAAATATCAGTCTTGTGGCTGTTTGTTAAAAGGTACAGACTGTGCACTGGGGCAGGCATGCGCACATACACAGTTGGCAATACTTATTTTCATGACCATCTTGTTAGATGGGAAAATACAAATGGCTTAGAGAGTTATGTCGGGTAGGCCCTGAAGTAAATGTTAATTATCAATAGACTGTTGTCACTTCAGGCATAACACCCTGATATAGTTACCAAATTTAGCAGTCATGAATGCAATATTCTGAGTGTTTTCTGCAATAAGAATGAGTTCAAATACCAAATAAAGGATGTTATTGTGAGTTGACTTCATGGCCTTGTGGTCTTCCAGCATGGGAAAAGCAGGGCAGGAAGGGAAGGGACACAACACTTCTTCTCTGTTACTCAGTGGCCTTTTTACCGACGGAAAACATGCCACAGTTTGCTGCAGCAGCTCCCACTTCCCCCTTCCTCCCACATTGCAACTTTCAGAAGGCTGGAAAGGCATCAGTCAAATTAGAGCAGTCATGGATTGATCTTTCAAGGCTTTTACAGGAACACTCCCTTAAAAAAAATAAAATCCTTAACTGCTTGCACAAGACGGGAACAGTCATGACAAAGGCTTCAAAAGACTATACACAAGAGTTCTCCATGACCCAGGTAGTTAGTAGATCAAAATAAGTCTTACAAAAAGATAGATTTACCTAAACCTTCAGATTCAAAGAGATAAGTTTCATCAACTCCAACGGACCTACACCAGTTCAGAAAGTTGGCAGTATTATCTCTAGCAAAGAAAGATCCTGATGGAGCATCCTTCTTGCATGGGACTTTTCTCATAGGAAAATTCTGCCAAAGGAAGAAAACAAAAAGTTCATTGTGCACATCAACACAGCCAACAAATTTCAAAGCATATTTTAAAAGGAAAATAAACCCCAAATTCAGAATACAGAAACAATGCCTGGTAACTATTTTGCACTAAATAAATAAATGAAATCACATATATTACTACAAAGGCAATGTTAATGCAGATCACATTCCCCCTTACCTATGTGAACAGTCACTGTGAGTGAGCAATCCTCAGCTCTGCAAACTCTCCCAAAACTGTCCATAATACAGTTGCTTTCCCATTTCCCTGCATGCTGGGTAAAAAGTCCTGCTAGCGGGTTCACAGGTCTAGACAATTATTCCCTCCTCCCATGCTCTGTCCATGGCAGTAGAATGAGCACACAGAACCAATGAAAACCAATGAAACTGTACTTGGCTGCCACATTTCAACATTTTAGAGACCATTCTAGAAAGCAGAGGGAATCAAAGGGAAGCAAGGGACAGTTTACTTTAAAAATAAATAAGTACGGATTTGCATTAAACTGGTATCTTCAAAAGTAAACAAACAGGCTTGAAAAAAATGTATTCAAGTTGGGCATCTTATCCTCCTTTAACAAAAAAAAAAAACCTAAGAACTTGCAGCATTCGTACAGCTCTCACATAAATACCATTTGGCATCCTAAAACTGCTATCCTGTTCCCCTCCATTAGTAATAATTCTAATATTAGCCCTTCTATTACTTACCGGTAAATATTCATTATTTAAGACCTGCAGCTTGTAAAACTAAACACTAATGCCACCATATAGACAAAACAGTAAAAATTAAACACACAAAGACATTTGGATATGTTAAGACAGAGTATTTGGTTTCTCTGAAGTGCACGTTAGCTAACAATCTTCTAGCTTTTGACATATCCAAGCATTGCCCTAAGCACACTGGATACCTATCTATCGAACATATGCTTCCTCCTCTAGCGTTACCAGCTTTACAATCCAAAGTCACAGATCAGTATTTTTCATTGTATAAACACAGACTGCAAGTTGTTTGGGATTCACATTTCAGCTCAGCCTTAGTTCCTAACAGGAAAGCTGAAGTCAAATACAACTCAAGTTCTCAAAGTACAACTCAGTTTGGATATTTTCATGGCTAACATATACTAGAATTTAGCCACCAGTTTCTAGCACAGAACATACCACTAAATGCCAACAGATACCTTGTTACCAACCCACCCCACTGTTAGCCAGGGAACAATCAGAGTTCGGTACTGCACTGGACCATCCTCTGGCAAGACTTCTCCAGAAGTCAGACTAACTGGGAACTTGGTAAGGGCCTTAAGATTTGATTCACAAATTGAATAAATGTTATTTGTTGCATAAACCTAGTTTATCCACCTATAAAGCCATATTGTTGTTAATCAATCTCTGGATACACAGCAGAAAAACACAACTTTGGGAAGTCTCACTGCTTTCCTTTTAGTACTTCATACAACTAAAGGGGTTGTATGAAAAAATACAATATGACTCACCCTTAAGTTATTTGAGCTGCAACATTTTTTAATTGTGTTCTGAAGAACACCAACCAATTGGCAAAGCAGTACTCCATTATCAAGTTCTTCCAGCAGTTGTTCAGCTGTGACTTGTACTCCTAAAGAAGAAAGGCAAATATTAGAGTTACTCCACAGAGGGTAAAGAAATCTCATATGAACCTACTGGCAACTCAGACACAGCATTTCATAGTTAAACACTTAGGTTAGACCACAGTCCACAAAGAGAAGTCCTATGATCAATATTAAATGCCACTGTTGCTTGGGTTCATCTAACACAGGTTGATGAATTTCTTCCCATCTTATGAGCCAGACCACAAAGATATTGCTATTGAAGTAATATAATAATGAAAGCATTTAGAAAGAAATCTCTGAAAGGCTCTTTCTAAATTAATACTTGCTCCTCCTGCCCAAATAGATGCAATAACTATTTATCCCCTCCCCCCTCACCAAAAAAAGGACTTGACAGACTGAAAAATAGTAGAAATACATAAGTGAACTAAAACTCATTGTCAATATAATTGGATGTTAATTACACAATCAGATTCAGAAATATAAATTAGAAGGATTAATCACCCTACCTCTAAGAGGTACAAGCTAATAAAATCTGAAACCAGAGCATGCGTTTTAATGCAACTCTCTTACCCCTTCTGGCTCAAACACACCAAATCTTAATAGTATTATGAATATGAAGTGTCAGCCTTGACTGGGATATTGGAACGCACTTTGAGATTTACTAGACAGTGATTTATTTTTAAACTCACCCAAGAGGCCAGAAAGCCAGATTGATAGATCTTCTTGCATAGGCACCAAAGTTGCTTCATGCCGCACAGATATCCACTCGTCATATAGGCACACATCTGCCAAACCTGGGCCATGCCTGGGAGTCAGAGGACTTCGTGGACTTAAAGGAAGGTCATCTCCAAACCACACCTGCAGAAGATTTCAGTAAACTGAAGATAGTCAGCTCTAATATTTGCAATGAGATGATAGAATCTTGCAGTTCTGCTATAGTCTAAAGATCTCTTATTCAAAGAGTAAGCTTTAATTTCCCTTCACATAAACAAAACCAACAAAACAGTATCAAGCGTGGCGTGACTCTCATGAGCGACTGCTGTATCAGAAGGGCCACTACATTTGTTCTCTTGACTTCACAGTTATCCTTCTGTGGCTACACATAGATTTTATTTGGCTTTAAAATAACTTACTTTTCCTGAATTTTAAATAAAGATGACACATATTAAACCTATGCTGGGTTTTTCCCAGCACATTTTAGGTAATAAAATCTGTAGTTTATAACATAATTTATTACAGACTATCGATTTCTCTGAGCAAGCATTTTGGAGGCATTTTATGTTTAAATTATTAAAATGATTAAGTTAAAAGAGAAAGTATGCAAGAACATATATCCTTAGCATTTCTTTTAAGAAATATGTATTTTCAGCCTACAAGCTACTTTTACTTTTTAAGAAAAGGACCACATTGAAGTTTCAAGTACAGAATTTCCAAAGAGAAGGAGTACTCCCAATATTCTGCTGAACTGAAGGAAAGTGGCTAAGTTTGTCTGCATATATGTATACATCTATACATATTTGTGTTTTTAAGTGATTAACTCAGTTTGGTTTTTTTGTTTTTCTTAAACAGCTTTTAATCATCATACAAATTCTTCTAAGCCTTTGGCTTGGAAGCCTTCTTAGGTGTTTGCACTTATGGAAAGAAAGTATCACCTAGCTGATAAAACACATGGTAAGGATCCAGCATTCCTGGGTTATATCAGTCTTGCCACATGGCTCTGTTCGTAAAATGGGAAAACTATTACATTTGTTTAAGGCAAAGACAGCTCCGCGCATTCTAGCATTTCATCTACTTCAGGGTAGATCTTTGCATAAAAAAGCATTATACAAAATTCAAGCATTACAAAAGTATTTACCTGAACTGCATTCTGCATGGTCATCTGCATTTACATTAGTTTCTCCCCCTGGGGAAAGAGAAGAGAATTTTTAATATCGTCACTCCTGCTTTCTTGAAAATCCCAATAAAAACTCACCAGTGCCATTTTTCCAAAATAAGAGTCAGTCTAAGCAGGGACGGAAGGAAGAAAAGAGAGAAGTATCTTAAGAGTTAAGGTTTCAATCCAGCATTCAGTCAGCTTTGGTTCTCTGCCCTTAAATAAAGTAGCAGTTACTACAGCACAAAGTAGCAACTTACTTTATATGCATAAATAATACTCAAAGGTTTCCATGATTTCAAGAAGCTGGAAGGCATTTCCTTTGCCAGGGAGAAGTAACTAAGTTTCAAACC